TCCACACTTGGTAGGGTCTCAGGATCAGCACTTCTTGGTCATGACCCTGCAGGGAAGCAGCATGACCCAGTAAGTGCAGAGGGGGCCTTGGATGTGGGAAGGACTGGGGAAGCAGTGTTACCTCAGCACAGGGACAAACACCACAGAGTCGCCAGGTGGGAGGACACCACATGCATGTTCAACTTGGGGTTGTGGGGTTCATGCTTTTGTTTCTGGTTGGGAGATGAGAAATGTTATTCAAAATGTGCTCTCCACCCACACTGGTTCTAACACAGAAATCTCACCCACAACTGCACAAAATGGGTCCTCAGAAGTGTTTCCTAAGCTCTATGAAGGGCTAGGGTGGTGGTGATGAAGATGATGATGAGGAGGACAGAAGGCAGAGCACCATGAACTGAGGTGCAGGGCTTCCCAGGCTCAGGGCTGAGCAATGTGCTCTGTGTCAATTGTTTCATTTCATGTGCACCATCTCACTTTAGTTATATGTTTCCTCATTATTATTATTATTATTGTATAGAAAATGAAGAAATGTGTTTTACTTATGTAACTTATACTCCTTTGTTAGTATGAAAAAATGCAGCCCTGTTTGCTTTGCGCTTTCTGACCATGGACACAGGGCACCACATGAGGATCCTGGAAGGCTGTTCCATTAGCAAGCCAAACAGCCCTTCCTCTTCCCTGTCACTGCAGAAAGAGCTTTGTCCTCTGTGCTCTTCCTTGTGGGATTCCTGGGGATCACAGGGCAGAGCAATGGGGGCACCTGTTGCATGCACCATGGAAGAACAGCCACAGGTCACTGGAGAGGTCACAGTAGGGAGGCTGATGATCATTCAGCACAGATCCACTCTTGGGCCCCTCCAGAACCTGCATGAGCTCACCACATGCCCCTCCATGCTGGAAAACAGCCCACTGAATCTCAAAGCAGACCTAAGTTCAGGTCTTGTTTTCATCCCTGCTCATGCAGCTGGAAACATTTTTGTAATAGACCCGTGGTTAAGAACTGTAGACCTATGCTGAAAACCGTCTGCTGGGAATGGATTAAAAATATTTAATGTGTCGGTGTCAGTGTACAAAGAGGTCACTAGTGTTACTAGTGTCTCCCAATTCAGCCTTGTCCTCTTGAGATGATTTCTAGTTGATGCAAATGCAGTGAGTCAGAATTAAGTAGATACTTATTGCTCTCATGTGAAAATATGGCATATATAAATAAAATCTGGGAAGAATAAAACCTGGATATTGTTATTACTGTTAGTAATGACTAGGTTGATCTGCATGCCACTCAACTCATACATCCTGTGACCTGGAGTGACAGTTTTCCTATTTCTGAATGGGACATTTATTTCTGACCCTCCTATTAGAATTGTCTGTGGGAGTAGAGACAAATTAAACTAGTGTCTTTCTATGTCCATGCTTTGGACATAGAGACCCTTTTTTCTTATTATTTTAAAAAGATTTTTAAATTTGTTTTAATTAGTTACACATGACTGTAGAATGCATTTCTGCACTTTGATATATCATACATAGATGGGATGTAATTTCTGAGTTTTCTGAGTGTACATGTTGCAGAATCACATTGGTCATGCAGTCACGATATACCCTCAGTAATAATGTCTGCTTCATTCCACTGTCTTTCCTATCCCCACATCCCTTCCCTCTGCCTACTCTAAGGGAACACTTTCTTCCCTAGTGACCCCTTGCCTTAGTGAACTAGCATCCACATATTGTTTTTATTTAATACTATCCCAGTAGACAAATTTTGAGACATCATGGCAGAGATTTTCATGGGTTTGAAGAAAGGCAATGAGGCAGAGCTGAAGGGGCACTTAATGCTGCAGCTTTCCACTGAGCCACAGAGTTTCACCTCCTTCCAGCCTCCAGTGCCCTTGACAATGGCTTTCTTCCATAAGAATGGAATCTTATATTAAATCACATTTTTTTGAGTGATTCAATATTTATTGTGTTTCCAATTTCTTTTTGATGCTGCACATGTTGTGGAGATGGTGTTATAATCTGTGTTTCCCTTAAGCAGTAAACAGGGAGAGAAGGAGTGATTCGCACACTGTGCACACACTGGCAGGTGGGATGTGGGTCTGAAATGCTGCCTTCCAGACTCTAGTTCAGGCACCAGCTCTGCTGCTGCAGCCAGAGGAAATAGATTCCCTACAGAAGTTGAAATTTCCTCAGGAGTCTTGAAGGACAAAGTATTGCTAGTTAGTGTTTAGCCTCATATTTATGATACATATTAAGCTTGAGAAGGTTTAGGTGACATTGACTGTCCTCATAGTGACATAAATGTTGGTCATTAATAGTATATTTGTACATTGGAAACCATTCAACTATTCCTGGCCAACATATTACACAGGCACTCTTACTTGTGTGACCTGGTGAGAGGCAAAAGCATTTTGAAATGTTTGACATATTAATAAACTTTCCCATTAAATGGTGTCCTTTCTTCAGGTAACACTTTGCATCAGATAAAGACTTTGAAGAAGAGGAATGTACTTCACAGATGGAATTAATGTAACCTAGTACATTGCAGGGGCAATAAGTATGGTGTTGCAGACTGCTTAGATGAGCTTTGGGTACTTTTAAGGCAATTTTGTAAAGGAAACTTTATGGTAGATAATACTGACATGGAAACACCAACAGAAAATTATACCTTCCCACTTCATGACAGAAGATGTGTTTGGAGACAGGTTTGCAAGAGAATGAAATCAGGCAGAGATACTAAGCCTCATGTTTTGTAGGTAATGATTCAGTCTCTATCCAATGCTAGTCCTGAGACAAGTATTACTGAATTTCTGGGCTTTAACAGATGTCTTGAGTATTATGACTATTAAAATTTCCAACATTCAAAGAGCATGTTCTAAATGCCAGGAGGTTGATATTCAGTGGATTTCAATTCTGGTGTAAGGACAACTGAAGACTTTACATGCAGATACGCTGATTAAATTGGTGTTGGTCTGACATTGTGGAATCTGGATTATCTAAAATATCCAAAAGTGTGTATATTAACAAATGAGACATAAGCACTAGGTATGCAGTTGGAAAGATTTAAAAATAAATTTTCAAACAACTATACTAGGTAGGTAATTATTTACAATTTGGCAATTCCCATGAGTATTTACTATTTCCTTGATTGTTTATTATTATTTTTTCATCGTTTTCCAATTTAATTACATTGAGAACTTACAATAAATGAACCTGTTTACCTCATGTGGCTGACATAAAGGAATTTCAAGCCACTTAATCAGGAATGAACAGACAGTCCATGAAGAGGAAATGAAGTGGTTGCATGAAAGTCTGAGCTCTGGGGCTTTCTTTGGGTTAAATCTTAAAACTATAAACTTGATGTTTTGAGCTCACAAATCCATGAAGCAGTTTTAGGAGGCCGGATGGAGTAGAGAGTCAAAGAAAAGAAAAAGAGTGAAGAGCCATTTTACACAGCAGATATTTTATTGATATTATATGGGTTGGTTCAAATAAGCCTGCAGAAAATTAAATTCTTCAGAGGAGTTGATGTTACACCATGTGTCCTCCAAGAGCTCATGTGTAAGACGATGCAAGAAAATTTAGAGATGAAATGTTTGAGTTATACGAGGCTTCACCTAATCAGTATATTAATTCCCTGATAGGAATTAACTGGGTGGTGACTGAAGGCAGATAGAGTGTGGCTGGAGGAGGTGAGTCCTGGGGGGCAGGCCTTTGGAGTTTCTATCTTGTTCTTGCTGACAAAACACTCTCTCCACTTTCTGGGTGACCCATTCCAGCTGCACACACTTCTGCCATGATGTTCTGCCTCACCTAGGGCAGAACTAGGGAATGGACTAGGCCATCGATGGACTATGACCGTGAGCCCCAAATAAACTTTTCCTCCTCTAAATTGTTCTTGTCAGGTCTTTTG